GGGGCGTGGACAGCCTGGCGGGGCGTGGACGGCCCAGGGGGACAGCCTGGCGGGGTGCCAATGGCCCGGTGCACACAGCCCACGGCAGGGACAGAGGCAACCCCCGGGGTCCCGTGGCGTGTCGACACCCCCTTGCCGGACCCCTCCCCAGGGGCCCAGCGGTCGGCCTGAGTGCAGCCAGCGGTGGCCTGGTCTGGACTCCCGACAAAAGCAGAGGCCACGGTGTGCAGCCCGCTTCAGAGACGCGGGCTGGGAGAGCGCGGAAGCTGCTGCCCCACCACCTGGCTCCCCCACGCGCACAGCTGGCTCTAGCGAGTGGAGGTCAAGGCGCACCGGAGCTGGAGCTGGCGCGGAAGGAGAGCAGCCGCCTGCCCGGCACCCAGCTCAGGCCGAGCGTCTCCTCCCCCACCTGGAGCGCGCTGCTACCGAGACTGCAGCCCGGGCCGCAGGCCTTGATGTCGCTGGGTGACTCACGTGCCCTTTCGGCTTTTAAGTCCCCTGAGGCAGGACCAGAGCCTGTGACTTCAAAGCCTGATGTCAGCTCCGCTGGGCGGAGAGGCTCTGAGTGCAGCTTGAGGCCCTGACGGTCTTTGTTCTGGGGGGCGGAGGGGGGGGCCGAGTTCCTCCCACGAGTCTGGTGCTGCAGTCACGCAGAGGCCGGGCGGTGCGTGGTGGGAGGCCGCTGCCGGGGCCAGGACCGTTGGGGACCAGCACCTGCGCACGCACGCACACCGGGGAGCCCGCCCTGGGAGGGGGGGGGCTCCCGACCGCCAGCTGAGGCCACCAGAGCACAGGAGAGGCGTGCAGACACCAGAGAGCCTGCGGATGGTGCCTCGCAGAAAATCTGTCCCCAACTGGGGACAGTACATGGTCCAGTGACCCAGTGGCCAGGGTGTGGGACTCAGGCTCTGTGAGAGGAAGGCGGGGCTTCCCCGAGGGCCGGTGGGCTGGGGAGGGTGGAGGCAGGCTCTAACGCTGGCTCCCCGCCGGGCACTGCTGGCACTTGGCTCCAAGGCAGCCGGGTGCAGCCTCCTGGGCGAGCCTCTTCCAGGGTTTCCTAAGCTGGGTGCAGAGTTGGGGGACATTCTGGGCTCAGTGCAGTGAGGGACTGCGTAGGTGGAGCAGAGTGGGGTGCAAATGCAAAACTAGGAGGCTCGCTGGGGCCTTGCAGCCATGTCCTGGGGCTGGAGGCCCAGAACACCCAGAGCCAAGCCAGCAGGAAAGCGGACTTTCTGCATTCAAGAAAGATGGGAGCAACGGCTCATTGTTGGACTAGTAAGGGGAATCTGACTTAGGCATCTGGGACATTAAGTCCCATGGGTCAAGTGGGGGAGAAAACCGCTGGAGTGGAGGTGTGTGCTATTTCCTCCCCGGGATTTTCCTAGCTGCAAAATCATCCCCCACCGCAGGCACTGTGTCCGCCTGCAGACTCCCGTAACCAGCCACTGCAGGGGAGGAGTGTGTCGCTGACAGTCCTGGGGGCTGGGGAGTCCGAGCTCAAGGTCCAGACGCTTAGGTGTTGACGGGGACTCTTCTGGCTTGCAGACAGCTGTCTTCTCCCTGGCCCTCACACAGTGGACAGAAAAGTAGCTCTCTGGGGTCTCCTGATCAGGGCACTAACCCTATGGGATCAGGGCCGCCTCCGTGACTTCCTTGTACCTCAATTACCTCCCAGGGGCCCTATTTTCTATTTCAGCCACCCTGGAGGTTCGGGCTTCAGCACATGGGTCTCGGGGTCCCGGGGGGTTACTCTGTCACCTGGGGTAAAGATGCTGTGCGCTACTTTCCTGGCTTCAAATTGAAAGTAGGTGCTCTGAGCCCTTTGGGCTTTACTGCAGGGTGTTCCAGCTCTACCCCTGGGGGCGCCCTTCCTCTCCCAGGACCCCACATCAGTCCTAGGGACAGTGGCCCTCCATGGCTGCACATTTGCAGAGACCATGAGGGTCTCAGCTCTCCCGGGTCAGGCCAGGGTGTCCTCTTAGGGCTGAGTCAGGCTCGAAGCTCATTTCAGAGACCTCTGGGGGGGCGCATGTGTGAGCAGCAGCCCTGGAAGCCGGTGGCTGAGTCTGAGCAGCGTGGGACGCCGGGAGGAATGCAAAATGGCAGCTGGACAGAGAAAGTCCCCGGAGCAGAGGCAGCCAGAGAGCTCGCTGCCCACGGCGGAGTCTTCAGAGACCCAGGCCCTCAGCGTAAGGACCATTTCTCTCCCAGACTACAGGTCCCCCCTGAGGGCCCTGTGGCAGCTCCCGCTGCCTCTGCCGGTTAGTTTCAGAGACCTGTGGTCTGGGGCAGCGGACCTGTGGGAAGAAGAAGTGTGCATGCTAATGGGGTGGGCTGGGGGTGGGCCAGGGCGCTGGTGCACAGGTTACAGGGCACCCCCATGCGGACTGGGCCGCCTGCCTGTGGGTCCTCACCCACGTGCTTAAAATTCAGTTGTACTGCAGGCGCATACAAAAAGGATCAATAATGGGTTCGCTTACAAGGGGAAAGGAAAACCCAGGAAAAGAGAGATTTAAGTGAACTGGGATATCCTACCAGTTCCACTGACTTGGAACCCCAATAACACACTGAAGGCTCATCAGGAGCCTAATGACCAGCCATCAGCCATGCGGTCCAGAGAGAGCGCGTCTCACGTGGCTCCTTCTATACCCCCCAAAGTCCCAGAATGCTGCTTAGCTCCGGCCCTGGGTCCTCACAGTCCTGCTGGGAGTCGTAGTTTACTGGAGCAGGGGGTGGCGTCCACAAACTGCAGAGTTCCTTCAGGACATCCTTTCCCCCTAACAAGAGGACCGGCCGGGAAAGCGAGGCTCCGGTGATGTGCTGACCACGCCCCAGGGCCCGGGGCACGTCGCCCGCCAGGCCCCCTCCTCCGCCGGCTGGAGCCGGGCACTGAATACCTGGGTCTCCCCTGGCACTTCACACGCTGACACCTGATCGCCGTGTGATGTCCTGAGAGGTGGGGCCGTGGCGGTGACGGGGTCATGAGGGTGGAGCCCTCCTAGTGGGATTAGGCCCTTATAAAGGGAGCTCTAGGGGACCCCCAGGCTGCCTGCCCTGTGAAGGCACAATGAGAAGGCGCCCCGCTGGGAACCAGCCACCGGAGTCTGAACTTCAGCTTCCACGACCACCGTGAGACCGTGTTCAGGCCGCAGTCTGTGGTACCGGGCGACAGTGGCCTGCACTGACTCAGACGGGGCCGATTTAGTTATTAGTGAGCTGAGAAAGGGTTGTTTACCAGAATTCCCCTTCAGAAAGGGAAGTATTTGGGAAAGTCCTTGGGGTGAAAGAGGAGGTGTTCTCAGACAGAAGGAGCATCGTCACCCAGAGAGGGGGTGAGAGAGGACCAGGGAGCCCCACGGACCAGAGGAGGGCAGAGGGCCCTGCTGCCTGGAGAGGCCCCAGCACCCGTGGCGCTGCGGGGTGGGGTCCGGGCGGCGGGTGGCCTCGGCCCGCGGCAGCGAGGGGGAGAGGGACGAGAGAGGCGGCCGTCTGGAAGCTGTGGGTGCCGTGGGGAGGGCCTGGTCCCCGAGGGTGTGACACTGGGGTTCCGCCCAGGCCTACTCAGGCCTGGGGCAATCCTGGCGGGCTGAGGGTGCTGGGAGCCGTGGACAGAGCAGACTTTGACCACCGGACATCCTAGGACACCTTTCTCCGCGGGCCTGCGCTGGCCGTGGCTGGGTGAGGGCCAGTGGCCCTAAAATCGGGCTTCTGGGACGGCTGGCCAGAGAAAGGTGGAAGGTCAGGCACTGGGTCAAAAGGTCACAGCTGACCGCTGTATGCTCATAGCTGGGTTCCCCCTTCAGGGTAGTGCATCCGGCTTTATGTGGAACTAACAGCTCCGCCTCTGACGCAGTAACACATAGAAAATGTCTGGCATAGACAAGGGCTCACAGCGGATAGGTTCTCAGAACTGTGGTGAGCGTCACAAAAAAAAGAAAAAAAGAAGTGTTCGGTGGCCCTCTGTGGAGGCCACAGGTCTTGACCAACGGAAAGCCTTGGGCTCCCCTTCCAGTCTGGCGAAGCTGATGGATTTGCCCCAGTTTTAAAAGCAAAAAGTAGAATACACAAGGTTGCAAAGCAAAACTAATCTATTAACCGTCTGTTATCAAAATTAAAAAGTAGGCTGTGACGACATTTGCTCCTCTGTCCAGGCACTGGGACAGGTCGAGAGACAGCTGTCATAACTACCCTGGTTTTCAATGAGCAAGGAGTGGAACTGAAACAGCTTTAGAAATATCTGTAGCGACTGTGGAGGACTCGAAAAGAGCTGTGATTTCGGTGGGTGATAAGTCCCAGGAACTGCTGTCGCTGTGACCTCCACGGGCCAGCGTCCAGGAACTGCTGGACAGCTGTGGCCTGACGCCTGCACGCATGGCGGAAGGAAACGCTAGATTCCATCCTGACCCCTAGTGAAAGTGGGCACATGATTATCTCCCCAGCCAGTGCGGCCCTGTGGACGCCACCCCTGTGCCAGGCGTGGGCCTGGCTCAGCACAGACACAGGCGTGGAAACAGGTCAGGTCTCCGGGTTACGCCGGTGTGTTCCGCATCTGTGTCTGTGCCTAAACCAGGCGTTCCCAGGGGCCTGAGGGGGAGGGGCCTCCAGGGGCCCATCCTGTCCGGCCGGGGGATGCCAAGGGCTGTGGCAGAAGCTGGGACGAGGCTGGGCTCTCAGCGCAAGGGGGACCCCACCCCCACCTGTGAGGGGCAAAGTCGGCACGTCTGTGCAGGTGTGCTAGGGTATCCCCGTAAACCTGAATCCAGATGCCTCAGGTCTCCCAGCTCGGGGGCAGCAGTGCTGAGACAGCAAGGGCAACAGTGACACCTGTTGACAGCCAGGGACAGCGCGCCAGGCCCCCTGCTCCTGGGTCCTCCCAGGAGCTCAAGGGACCGCCTAGTGTGCGCATGGACAGGCCGCAATTCTGGAGAGTCTCTGGCGTCCCCAGTTCATCCCACGCACGTTCTACAAGAGCCAGCAGCTGCTTTCAAGTGGGGAATAGTTAAAGCACCCTCAAGTGCTTTGCCTGACATCACAATTACGCACGCCCCTCAGCCACAAACGAGGGAAAGTGCACCCCAGCTGATTAGGCTTCTAATCAGCGGGAAGGGAACAAACAGGACCAGTTTCTGGGTCCCGGGAGCAGATGCGGTGTCCCAGTCCCCCTGTCCAGGGAAGCCCCCAAAGTAAGAAGTCCACCCTCCAGACAAGGGCGGGCTGCCCGCTCATGCCTGCCGAGGCAGGGCCAAGTCTGTGAGTGCCGGGCTGGGGGCCAATGGCCCAGATAAACAAGAGGCCAAGAGGCCCCCAGGGGCCCCTGGGACAGGCCCTGGAGAGTGTGGCGGGACATAGGACGGAGGGACGGCGCGTCTCCGGATGGCCTACGTTCCCGCCTCGCTGGGGCTGAGCACAGCGCTGACCGGGTTTGACAAAAGATAACATGGCTACCACTGTCGACGGGGGTCCAGGGAAGAGCTCGGGGCAGTCCTTGTCCCCTGGACACAGTGCAATGAGCTCATCTCACTGAAAACCCTAAGAGGTCTTCAAAGGTTGCTCAGCAGACCTCGCCTCCTCTCCTCAGCGAGCAGTGGGGACAGGGGCCCAGGCGTGCCCTGGGGTCCCAGGCAGACAGCCGGGCTTGAAATGTTGCCAGAGGACCCGGAGTGATGGCCAGCAGATGGGCAGGAAGGTCCGTCAGGCCCGGCCACCGCCAGGGTGGACGGGAGGGTTTGGGCTCAGTCCGTGGCACTGGAGTCTGCTCACGCCTCAGCTCTGTCTCACCAGCCCCAGGCCCCCCGGGCCCCCTGTGCAGGCCAGAGGGTCTGAAGCCCAAGCATCGGGCTCCTGCACCAGGATTCGGCCGAGGAGCCCCTGAGAGACTGTCTGTGGGTCCAGGTCACCACCGACCTGGGCAGAAATGGCCAAGTCCCTTGTCCCCTGCTGGAACATGGCCGCAGTCACAAAGGGCAGTGGAAGGACCCAAGGGCAGCCCCAGTCGTGGACCCTTGGCCCGATAACAGAGGCTGACATTGTGTGGGACTCTGGCACGGGTCCCGGCTTTGTCCGGCCCCCAGGAAGCCAGGGCTCCCCCTTCACACTCAGCGCGCTGTCCGGATGGCTCCACCCAGCAGACCACAGGGCCGTCCCGTCCTCCAGGGGCCCTGGGCCCCGTCCGCGAAGGGACGGGCCTCCCACCGCGCTCACTTCCCTTTGGGCCCTCAGTCTGAGCTGGGGGAGCAGAGCAGAGGAGGCGCTCAGGAGCCCTCTCAGCTGCTGGCAGGCTGCTTCCCAGCGACACCTCTCTGCAGAGGCGGGAGGGGGGTGGCGGGGTTTCCTCGCAGCTCCCGGGGTGGGGGCTCTCACCAGCTGTTCGCCCACTTCCTGCAGCAGGGCCTGCCCTGTGGCCGCTGGGACTGGGACGGGTGGGGGCTGCGGCCTCCCCACCCCCTGGAGGCCCCTCGCCGCCAGCCCTGGGGCCAGTTGCCCAGACTGTTCTTCCCGCCCAGGGTTTGCCCCAGTTCTGGTAAAGGAGTTTCGTTACCAGCCACCGCACCAGCAGCACAGAGCGCTGGAGGAGATCCAGCTGGAAACTTCCCCTCAGAGAGGCAACGGCCCCCAGGGGCCCGGGGCTGGGCAGGGCCACCGTGGTCTCCTTGGAGATGGGGCCGGCTGAGAGCTGGGCGAAGACGCCTGGGTGGGCTCCTGCCCCCTCTGCCTCGGGGGTGCTCAGGGGCCAGGATGCGGGGAGGAGGGGGCACTCTGACATGGGGTGCAGCTCACTACTCCAACCCCACACTGCCAGTCCCCCTCCACCACCTGCTCACCACCCCAGGCCTGCCAAGCTCCCCCCAAAACTGCTCATTTCTGGACACCTGAAGTTTGCATGTCCTTCTGCTTCCAGGACAGGTTACAACTTCCCCATTTTCCAAATTTCATCAGTTTGTGACGAATCCTAACTGCCTGTATCCAGAGACGGGGGTCCCCCAATCCTCAGCTGTGTCTCCGGCTTCCCAATGAAGGCCCCCTTTAGGATGGGCCCAGGTGGGGCCTCAGAGCAGTAAAGACAGGGTGCTGTTGCTGCCAGCAGGGCAGGTGGAAGCCTTCTCCCCTCCCCTAAGCCCGGACTCCCCACTTCCGCTTCATCGGCTCCCCACCTCGCTGGTTTTGCCACAGAGGGAAGACCTTGGGAGGTCCCAGGAGGCTGGCTGCAACATTACACTGAATCACTACCAGACGGTGGGGTGGGGAGGGGGGTGTGGGAGCTGCCGGGGCTTCAAGTGCAGGTGCCGGATGGGGGGCAGTGTCTGTTGCTCCACAGGAGGCGGGTGGGACTGATGGCCCGAGATCCCCTCCAGTGTGGCAGTGCCACGAAAGGCCCCCCGCCAGGGGCAGGGTCACCCTCGGGGCTTCTCTGTGCTTCCAGAAGAGGAGGGGCGGGGAGGCGGCAGGTGAGCAGCTCAGGCTGCAGACCCCGACAGCGCAGGGGAGAGCAGAGGGCGCTGTCAGAGGCGGGTGCTGCACCTGAGCCTTTTCCCCACCTGCTGGGCGTGGGGCGTGTCAGGGCCGTGTGGGACGCGCGTGGACCCCGCTGGGCCGGGGTGCACGGACACATTCCCCAGCTGTGGTCAGCGCACCCGGGCGAGGTCACCCTCCGTTACAGGAGGGTAAACTGAGACTTGGAGGGATGGAACAACTCTTCGTATTGCCTGTGACGGCTAGCACCCCCACGCACCCCCACGCGCCCCCACGCGGCCCACACGGTGTGGTCCTTCCCTGTGCACACCTGCCACTGGTCCCTTCCAGACGCAGCCTCTGAGCTCTCTGTCCCACAGAAGGGCCTTGGCTGCCGGAATGAGAGGAAATGATGTTCCTGGGCCTCCTCCAGCCCCGCCTTCGGGAGGGCCTCCCTCTGGGAACCCAGCCTCCATGGCGCTGGAACCCCAACGGTCAATGGAGAGCCTGTGGGCTCCCAGCTGACCAGCTCAGCTGGACTTTGAACCGGCCTGCAGCTTCTTATCGGGAAGTCCTTTTGCTCCATAAAGACAACTCAGCTGATGACACATAGGCCCGCCCTGCCCTCCCCAGGGGCCCTGCCCAGACTGCAAACTCTACCAGGCAAATACCTGGTATTTGAGCCACAGGTGTGGTCAATGACGCAGCCACAGGTAACCAAAAGCACCACGCAGCCTGTCAGGGTGGAACTGCCTAGGCCCATCTCCACAGTCAGGAGCTGCTGTCCTCGCACCTCCCCCAAAGGGAAACTTCCCCAGCAATGTGGAGGGCAGCAGATGTGACCTCAGGCTTCAGCTGCCCTTCACGTCCAAGATGCGGGCTGTGTACCCCCAGTTCCCAGGAGCCCTAGATCCTCCGAGCAGTCATCTCTGAACCCCAGCCAGCCAGCAGGTTCTGCAGAGCTGGCTTCAGTCAGGCCCACTGTCCTGGCCACAGAACCAGGCTCCCTGGGATGCCCAGGGCACAAAGCCTGTGATCCCCGAGCACGTTAACCGAAGGCCGCCTCCCCACGTCTCCCCTCAGGCGTAGATGAAGGGCTCAAATGGAGAAAAATACAAGTCGGAGAGGAGAGGTTATGGGGGGACAGGGGAGAACAGGTCCTCCTGCTCCCCAGCACTGAGATTAGCACCTCTCGGGCAGCTGAGCAAACTGTCAGACTTCCAGTATAAAGGACTTGCAAAGGAGGCGCCCCCACGCCAATCCTGCGACCCTTGCACCCGGCACCCCCTGCAGTTTGGCTAATTGGACAGAACATCCGAGGAGAGAACAGAGTCAGCCTAACACACACCCCTGCCTGGGCCCTGAGGGGGCTTCATGCGGCTGCTGGAGGGCTTGTGACAGCTGAAACCAAGGGGTACCCAGGCGCCCCAAACTGGTAAGGGAATAAAAACATCTTGCCTGGTCTAAGTACCTGGCCACCTGAGCACAGACTCGCAGTGTCCTGGAAGTGGGGAGAGCGCAGCAGAGTGGGATTTCAACCCCCAAAGCAGGCCACTTCCCAAAGAGGACTGGGCCAAAGGGGGGCCGGGGCCTCCCCTGAGGCGCCTCCCTTGGGGATCGCAAGGAAGGGGCTAGCCAGTCCCAGGGAGAAGGAATGTACATCTAATCCACCCCCGGGGCCAAGATGACGGCGCCAATGATGGGACAAAACGCTAAGGCCTCTGGGATGGCTCCGCCTGCGTTCAGAAAATGAGTCTTGATGATTTTCCTTAACTAGACAAGGCAATTACTGAGTCCGGCTTTTGTGACACAGGCACTTTACATTTTCTGGGGTTGACCCACAAAACCAGGACGCCTACCTCAGATTTCAGTCAGGCGCGGGTAGGACCAAGCCGGTGAGTCTGAACGGGAGGCGGCGGCTGTGAGCGCCCTTCCGGCCCGCACCCCGGCTGGGCAGGCTGGTTTCCTGTGGATTTGGGCAGGCGAAAGGCCCGCTGCGTAGGTTCCGTGTACTCCACAGCCTCTCAGGGCCGAGTGGGGCCACCCGCAGGCAGGGAGGCAGCGCCGGGTGTGCGCCCGACGCCCCCTTCAGCCCTCACTCTCGTCAGGCGCCAGTACGCACAGCATGGCGCCCGCTCACGAGCATGGCGCCCGCTCACGAGCATGGCGCCCGCTCACGAGCATGGCGCCCGCTCACGAGCATGGCGCCCGCTCACGAGCATGGTGCGCTGAGCCCCTGCTCGGGCTGTTGGCGCCAGCACGCATCCCGCGCCAGCAGTGAAAGCTGGGGGGAAAGCGAGGCCGAGGTGGCCGCTGAGGGGGGCCCATGAAGGGCCGGAGGCCTCCCCGGTGGCCGAGGGTTAAAGCGCAGCACTTGGAGGCCGCCACAGCCGCTGCAGCACGAGTTCGACCCCCCGCCAGGGAGGGACCCCAGAGCGCGGCAGACCTCGCCTGTCTCCCCGCTGCCCCTCTGCAGTGGGTTTCAGTGGATCGGCCTGTTCTGCTTCCC